TCTCTCTCTCTCTCTCTCTCTCTTTCTCTTTTTCTCTCTTCTTTTGCTATTCGAAACGAAGCGAACGGTGCGCGATTACGGCGTGGTCGGAAATCGTCTACGTTAGCGCTGCGTCGACGATTACGCGTATATATTCTCGAAAATTGACAATCGCGCGATTTTTTATTCGCGGTCTCTCCGCGCCAGTTTATGTTTCAATCACGGACGGTAAACCAATAAATGCAGTCTAGTTTACAGAGCATATTATCGAAATCCGTTAAACTATCCGGTTTTGCAATCAGCAACGGAATTTAACTGCGGATTCTCCGCCCCCGTTGGTCGCAACCTCGCCTCTCTGCGTTCTCTGCATATTTTCTGACGGTGTTTCCCCTTATTTTCCTAATATCTAATTATCGGGCTGGCGTAAAAACAAGCAGAGGCAGGTGGCGAAACGAGGAGGCTGTTGTATCATCGTGAAGGACTGGCCAAACAAGCGTGTTTCAACGAGTAGCGAGTCAAGGGGTATCCGGGTCGCGTTTGATCGGTGGTGACGAAACGTTTCCCCCTGGTCGCGTAATTCGCACCTTAGTCTCTCGAAGGGTGATTGACGAAGCGAGAGAGGGAGGAACACGCGACGCATGCCTCTAGATCTCGCGATCGATGGGTCCGGTCCTGGTAGGTTGTTTGCGGGCCGCGGAATAGGCGCGTTGCTACCCTCCCCTCTGAGCGAGCGACCGCGTGCAGTAGCAGCGAGAGGAAGGCCGAGCGCGCAAATCGAACGTGTTCTCTCGACAGCGGTGACGACGCGAGGGTGTCGCGCGAAGGAAAATCTGAAAATCGACGCGCCGATACCGTGTAGGCGGATTAGGCGCATCGTTACCTGGTTTACTGAAATTCGTGAACATGAAATCCTGTCGACCTGGCGGGTAGCCGCACCACGCAGATTCAGAGGAAGGATCCCCTTTTCTTTCGATCCTCCTACGTGACGACGATCTTCCGTGACGATCTTACGGAAACGATCCTCCCCTCGGTCGACGAATGGCCTGAGTGATCCTCTTCACATACACGAAACGTGGAACGATCGGCGGGTGGCTTCTCTTGCGTTTCACGATGCAACTGCGATCTCTGTCGTCTTCACGGACAGTACATTTCGCGCACACGAGAAAGAACGCACTCGTGATAATCGTTCGATACACCGAGCCAGGTTTGTCTACGATTGCAGTGTCTTCAATTCCGTCTCGGTGTAATCGTGACACCCATTAAAAACGCGTCGTGTCGAACGGACTCGAACAAACGAACGAACGAACGAACGAACGAGCAAACGAGTATGCCAAGAAAGTATGTTTTTGATACGAAGAGAACGAGAAACACAGACGACGGTAGGAGACAGTGACCACCGATGATTAGTTTTATTTCTCGTTGATCAGACGATGATCATAGGATCGAGACGAAATATATTCTTCCGCGTATTATATCGCGAATTATCTCGCGACGCGAGACGTCGATGACGTACGAAAGGCGGACGAAACTCCGAGAGGGAGAAACAACAAAGTGGCGTGTGTACCAAGTTGGCCGCGAAGCGCGACTGAGGCCAGGGGTGGCGCCGAGAGAGAGAGAGGGTGGCGTGGATGCAGGTCGACGTGTACGCTGCACGGACACATCCCCCCTAATGAATG